CCTCCCCACCCCTTGCCCCTAGGTCCGTGCCCCCCGTGCCCATCCCGTTCCGTTGGTCCACCGCGTATCGACGTGTGGATGTGGACGTGTGCCCTGGCCCAAGCCGCTGGCCTGCTACCTTCCCTCAAGCAACGAAAAGGCCTAAACTTCGAGTGAAACAATTTATTTAGAGAAACAATGGCTGTCCGCCGCTCATATAGTGACAGAGACTCTTTGGATAATCACAAATCGCGGCAGGATGAGCCGCCCAACTCGCGTTTATTTATCGTCCATCATAAAAGCATCACTGAGGACGACTTCAGGAAAGCGTTCGATAAATATGGTAACATAGAAGAGATATGGATGTTGAAGGATCGAGCAACGGGAGACTTGAAAGGTAAATAAAACACGTTCTTTCTACTGCCGATCCGTTATCTTGTGTTCCTCTGACGCAAATTTCTCTTCTGCTCGCCGACCTAACCTGACCCTATCCGTTTTGACATTCCTATATACATATCGTTCCTTGGCGCTATTTCAAATCAACTGAATCTTTTCTGGTTAAATCAAAACTTTGAATAGTTTGTATGTGGAAACTCCTCCAGTTTTAATCTGTACACTTAAAATTGTGCTTTGTCAACTGCTACGAATTGCAAAATATTTGTTGGCTCCATTTTGCTAATTTCCCCAGTAGTTTCTAACAGTTAAAGATAATTTCTGATTAGTTTTTAGATATTGAATCTTTTTAATTTTCATTTATATTTACAGGCATCACATACATTAAGTTTTCAAAATGCTCAGAAGCGGCTTTGGCATATGAGGAAATGAATGGCCAAGCTATAGAGGGCAACCCTCGACCACTTAAAGTTATGATTGCTCACAGGTACTTTTGACTCCTCCCCTTTTTTAACATTATATCATTCTGCCTTGATTTTAATTGACGTTCTTACTGCATCTTTTAAAGCCGAGAGCAAGGTTCAAAACGTGAAATGAATGAAGATGAGCGCTTGACTCGTCTTTTTATTATTGTCCCAAAATCTACAACTGATCAAGAACTGCGTGATCATTTTAAACAGTTTGGAGATCTTGACTATGTGTCTGTAGTCAAAGATAGAGAAACAAGGGAAAGCAAAGGTTTTGCCTATGTCAAATACCACAGGTAAATTTCTCTAACTTCATTAAATGAAATATTTTAATCCTATGTGTTTTCAAAATCACCATTTTACCTTTTGTCAGTGCATTGAAAGTAATAGCATTCTGTTTATTTTCCAGAATGTCACATGCAGCCAAGGCTTTTGAAGATTGTGATAGGTCTTACAAAGCAGTCTTTGCTCAACCTAAAAAACCTCGTGAATTTACAGATTCATTTCCTAACAATCGTGATGGTGCTAATTCTAGACATGAGGGCACTAGAAACAGTAACGGGTTGTTTGAAAACCCAAGTTACTCATCATATGCTTGTTAGTATTATTTTAACTGTCTTGCTTACCAAACATATCTTTAAAAATGAGCATAAAGTGTACTCAAATATCATTTTTCTCTATTTTCTTCAGTGGAAGTTGGACAAGGTTTCCCTGAAACAGGTTGCCGAGGTCTCCAAGTTATTGCTCCAGCAGTCCTCACTCAGGATCAGTTATGGAGGCTCTTTGACTTAGTGCCAGGTCTTGACTATTGTCACTTGAAATCTGATCCAAGGTCACGTATGGTGAGTAGAATCAAACAACTTTCATGGTGACTCAAAAAAGAACTTCTACTTATAAAAATTCTGGATTACTTTTTTTAGTCACGGGGTACAGCTACAGTTGTATACCAGAAAGCATCACAAGCAGCTTATGCAAAGGAAAAACTTCACGGGTTTGAGTATCCACCTGGTCAGAGGCTAATAGTTAAAGAAGACCCATCAGTTCGATCAGGGGACCCACACAAGTAAGCAAATAATCAGAACTATTATTGTGTACTTCGTTGTTGCTAGCATAGTGAAGATAAGAATTGCCCTACCATTTGAAACTTTGTATTTTACAGTAGCCCATCTAGAACATTGGCTGCTCGTGCAGCAACAGCTGTTGCACCTGCTGTTGATATTCAAAACAACTTGGCCACTCTTGTTGATACTTTAGCCCAAGCAACATCAATGATTCAGGCTGCTGGCTTAGCAGTACCTGCACTGGCACCAGCTAGAGGTGTTGCCTTGGCAGCAACAGGTACGTTTAGGCCTCATTACCTATCGTGGCGAGCCAAGTAGTACATTTGATCTGAGTTCAACATTATTGTTTGTATGTTTGTGCTCTGTTGTAAAACAAGACCAATGTAAAAATTCAATCCACCATGAGTGTCAAAAGACTGTTAAATTTTTCATTTGGCGTTTATTTTCAGGAGCCTTGAGTCCAACAATACGTGCAGCAAATGATCCCACGTACTGCTCAGCAAAATTACCTCCTGTCCAGCCTCTTGCTCATATTGAATCTGAAGTCAAAGAGAGGTCTGTATGAACATTTATTGTCTTCCATTATTACTCATTCATTATACTTCTTTGGATGAATAATATGTGTCAGTTCTCTCTCATTTCTAGATTATTTATTGTGTGCTATCCAAAAGCCCCTCCCCTGCATGCATTGAGGGATGTATTTGCCCGCTTTGGGAGTCTCATTGACATTTATATTTTGAATGGAAAAAACTGTGGCTATGCACAGTATGCAGAAAAAGAATCAGCAGAAGAGGCCATTAAGGTGAGGTTTCATCAAGCTTCATCATCATTATTTCTTTCGCTCTCCAGATCAATTAAGTGTCTGTTTCTTGCACACAGACGTTGCATGGAGAGGAAATATTGAGTATGCGCCTGAAAGTCATGGTAGCTGAACCATACACAGGAGAGGATCGCCGCAAAAGGATCAAAATGGATGTTGACAATTGAGGTAAGTGCCCACATTATTTTTCAAGCGTCATACGTAGAGAAAACTGGCAGAGATACAGAAGCACTAAGCATTCTTTTAAGTTGAAAAGTCTGCCCTGTTAACCTAGCTTCAATGGCCTCTTTAACTATAGATATCTGATCTGATCTGATGGTGGATGGATTCCCTTGTGATCTTTCTGTTTACTGCCAACATAAGTTCCTCATCTTCTGTGATATTGACATAGTCCAAATATTTATTAGTTCAACAATTGCTCAAGTAAGCTTAACTGGAAAATAACTTGAAAAAAAAAAAGAAGCAAATTTGATAGTACAGTATTTACTTAATTCTAATTCTCTTGTGAAAGTATATTTTGCCTACTATTAGAAAAAGGTTATTCATGTTTTTAATTAATCTCTAATGACTGCGAGGCAATGCTTAACTAAAATTGCAGTGAATAAATCTTCAACGAACCTAAGTTGTTGCCCGCACATTCTTAATGGGCTGTGTTGTCAACAGGTTATGTGCGTTTTTTTGTGTTATGTTTTTTGTTTGTTTTTGTAATTTATCATATTGCTAAACAGGAGCAAGCAACGGCTTTGATTACGGTAATTACTTTTGCTTTTCGCTTTCATGCTGTTGAGACCAGCTCCATCCGTTTTTGCTGTATTCTTTTTAATTTTGTTCTCAGTGGTGCTTCTATAGTCCTTTTATGTGTGATGCATGTTTCCTTCCCATTGCACATCATCAAACCAGAGGCAGTTCAGTTTCCCCAAGGAGCATCTATGTTCTGCCTTTGCTTCTTATATTATTTGCTCAACCATTTGTGCTGGAATCATCTCATAATATTAATAACTCTAGTATGTGTATGCGTCTTTGCTAAAAAAATATTGGTTGTCAGTCATGTCCTGTTTATGATCACTTTACAAGGAATACAGGAAATTTCTAATTGTTCCCAGGATTAACGCAGAGTCTCTAATATTTTGATCCCATTGCTTTACTTTGCATGACTTGACTGTTACAATTCGTTTTACTAACATGAAATCTATTGTGAAGGGTGGACAAGACCAATGACTAGGCATGGAACTATTCCTTAGCTTTCACAATACTTGACATGTATATTCCCTGTCTTGTCTTCATTATCCCTTCTCTTATGTTCTTAACCTGTCCTCACTCTTTTCCTGAGCCTTAGTGCGTGAACCTTTTTTATAAATCAAAAGATTGACAGATGTTGCCTGACCACTCTCACTCATACTCTGACATAATTTGTGGAGGCCTGCTCAACTATACTTTCTGAAGATGTTGTATGTTTACATCTATCTGTCAATTACATGCTCCCTTAAAAAAACATCTATATAAATCATTTTTTTTCTAACAATAATTTGGTGGAGGGTTTCAAACTTCAATGTTCATAACTTAGAACAAATTAACATTGCTTATTGCAGTAATTTTGCTTAGTTGACATCTTGATATTTTGTCTTGCCTTGATCCAAAAAGTTCACTTCAATGGAACTGGTTCCTTTCCATAGATTTTTATTTTATTTTCCCCAGTCAAGTATTATATATCTATCTGTCTCTCTAAAAATATAGTCTGTTTAATTATAAATGATTTGTTTCATGGAAATTGTTGAACCTTTAAAGCATTGATAATGGTTATTTTCCTACAAAATTTGTGAAAATTGCTCTTTTTCTCTTGCTCTTCTGAAAGTAATAATCATTGCTGACAGTACATATATCCACTGGTATCTTTCTTCTCACAAGTGCTGTTTAATTTCAGCTAAGTGAGAAATTTCAGTGCTGTACAGCAATATACACTGTTTTTGTATGTTTGTTTGTACAGAGAACAATAAGACAAGCTGACTGGACTCGACTTTCAAGGTCCACCCGGACTGTGCGCTGTGCGCGGGACTGCCACTGACGTCACGTGACATAGTGGGACACAGTGGCTTCAACGACATATATGACTGTGCCTCCATCCTTGCCACCCATTCCGCCTTTTTACAAATTATTGTAAGAAAACTTACCTCTTACATTGTTCCTTTGACATAATTTGGGATTTATGTCATTCACTTAGCTACAAATTATATACACATCAAACTTCTAACAAGAAAGGACATTATCATGACATATATTGAGAAGTACACACTTGTTAGGTTTTTAACCATGCTGCTAAACATTCAAGACTGGTTGTGCAATTCTTCATTGGTTCATTTGTAATGTTGTTAGTGTGATGTGATGTGTACCCATGGGATCAATGATATTTTTGAAGGGTTTCATTGTTCTAAAAGTAGAATTAGCTCAATGGATAGTTGTGCCTTCTCCTTCCTCTTAGATAGTATTGTTGCTGGGATGTTAGGTTGAAATCTAGCTTGTCTTAAAAATGGCAGGTGACATTTAAAGTTTCTTCTGCATTTGTCAAGTATTGATCCTATCTATGTAGGTTTGTTAATGGCAGGTACTTATGTACCATAATTTAAGTTGTTCCTTATTGCATAACTTCTTCCTGTATATTTCATATGACTGTAAGATTTGGGGTTTTGAGAAGGGTTTTCAAAAATTACTTTTTTATTGAGTATTTGAAGCTTGGCATACCAATCCCTGCTCAGTGACTATAGGAGTTTTGCCCTACAATTGTGGGTTTACTACTGATGCATTCTTTTAACCTCTTTTTTTTACCCCTACCCCTCTTGGTTAGACGGAAAGTATGGCTTCATGTGGTCATAAATCACTGAAGTTCAGATCTATTAGAATCTTTTGTGAAAGGTTAAATCTTCTAGCACCTACGTCTATTTACAATTATGGAAGCATTTTGAATAAGTAGGGTGCATAATGAGTTTTGAAGTTCTTCTTTTGAGTGGTAGTGTGGGTTGGGGTTTGTACTCTGTCAACAAGTGAAGAAACCCTTTGAAATTAGGTAAACAAAATTTCCTTAAGTAAACTTATGAATTCCAATGATATATATATATATTATGTTATAGAGGCAAAATTATGGAAAAAAGGGAAAAAAAGGGCAAGTTTTCAATTGTCGGTATGATTTTAAGTATGTTTTTCTTTATTTTCCGTTTTTTGAAGCTATATTTTTGACGCCAAGTTTTTTTCCAGCAGCTTTTTTGCTGCTTTGATTGAAACTTAAAATATCTTGGGAACGTTTTATGTTCCTGATCTTTAGACGTCGTGTAATTTACCTTTCTCATGTGGGGATCTTAAAAAAATGTGTGCAGCACACAACAAAGTATTAGACAAACCTTTTAAAGATAGATATTCAAATCTTTTTTAACTTCTGTGTTTCACCAACATTTAATTATATTTACCTGGGCATAATATGTTATGAGAGCCTGTCACATTTTTATATAAACATAATTAGAAAAAGTTCTCAATTTTATGGTTCTTGATCCAATATTTTTGAAAATGTATGTTAGATAGTCTATTTTTGTGCACAGGCTCACTTAATCCAAATATTTTTCTCCCAAAAGAAGCCATTGACTTTCAGTGCAAGAGCTGGTGCAAGAGTGGCGCATAAGTGGAGCAGTGTAAAAATACATTGGGGTATGATGATAGACATACATAAAAACATGTACGCCTTTGTCAACCTTCATTATTATCAAGAAAAGTGTTTCCACTTGAGAATTATAGAAAATTGTTGTCTGTTTCATAGCTCTACTATTAAGTTGTATTTTCTTTACTAAAGGTCTGTGATCTAAAAAAAAAAAAAAAAAAAAAAAGTGGCATGAAAGCTGACTTAACTTAATTCCTTCTTCACCAAATTTTATGATTTTCTTTCTTTGGAAGCGTTCCTCATTTTCCCTTATTTTATTTTCCTTTTCCCCCCTTAACGAAATCATGTTGTCATCAGCAATACACAGATGTTGTGTTGAGATTAGATTGTGAATACAGCCAATTAACTTTGTATTAGTGTAAGGTATTATAAAATATTTATAAATATAGGCTATAGAACTAATGACGCTTTAGCTATAGGCTTTAATCTATTTGATGTGCTTGTTTGTGAATGGTGGATGCTTTGAATGTTTAAGAAAGAGTCCTTTGGTCTCTAGTGTTGAAATATACATGACAAGGAAAACATTCAAACTTCATGCTAACCTTCTTTCCTCTAAGCTGATTTGCTTACAAAATGGCTTTCTAGTTGCAGTTCCTTTTTTTTCCCCCTTTTTTTTTCATACTTGAAGTTAAAAAGTTACAGATTTGTAACCAAAATTCTGCTACCTAAATACTTAATGAAGAGGTTTGAAATGCATGCAATTAGTCAAAGCTTCAGGTGACGGGTTCATCCCTGTCTTCTGATGAAAATGGACCGATCTAAAGAGAAAATGTATCATATGCCCTATGTCACAATGGAGAATTTTACTCCATTCCAAACACACATTGAAAAACAAGTGAACATTTTAAAACTCAAAATGCTGCACTTGAAATGAACATATTTACATTTCAAATGCTCTTTCCATCTCAGGAGCTAATCTGCTTTAATGTCAAGATTTGTCTGGCACTGAAGAAACTTGACAATTTAACTAAATTAGTGATGTAGACCGGCTGCAACAATCATACAATGAAACTAACATAATCTAAATCAAATTTTGGCCTATCATTGATTTTGATATTCCAAGTGATCAAAATTTGGTCAGACTCAAGTTACAGTTTAGGATGGTAACTTTCCTATGTGTAAAGATAAATCAAATTAAACAACTTTCTTTCAACATCAAGACCTGAGCTTGAGCATTATTGCATTTTTTCTATTTTAAGTCCGAATTTCAGTCAATATATTAAAAAATTTCTTATAGCTCTTTTATAGTTGTGTTTTTGACTGCACCTTGAAGGTTAAATTTGATATATCAGAATGAGCAATTCTTTAGTGTCCAAGTTTATTGATCTAATTACTGATAAAATATTAGTCAAACTACTGTACAAAATTTTCATCTAATTCCACTGATCAAATCGGGAAAAAAAATGATGATCAAGCTTAGATCAAGCTGATCACATCAACTTGATGCAATTTTGATTGATGGTTGCAGCCTGCTTAGTAACAGCCTTGCTAATAAATACAAACTGCAGTAGGACATTATTACATTTGTTTTGATTTTCTTTGAGTGCATTACTTTACAAACCTGTACTTCTTTTCAATTGGCTTGCTGTAGAAATCTATCCATAATTGTTTTCTTTTGGCTTATGTGACGTTTCACCTAAATCGGCACATAAGTCATGAACATTGTCATGTTATATTTATGTAACATTTGCTTGATATTTTCCAATTCCCATTCCATCTTATCCACTGCTTCATATTATGAGACAAAACTGCTACAAGTGTTTTCTTGGCGACATAGAAATAACTTCTGCTGTGCATTGAGCTGCAGAAGTATTATCTTGTCTCATATGATGTGGTTCCTAGCTTATGTATTTCACCATTCCGTCAATTTAAAATCACTATAAAGGAGATGAAGAAGAAATGAAATTCATATCCTTTTAGTCTTATCTGACTGATTTATAGCTCCAGGAAATACCTAAAGTATTACTGAAGGTAGGTCCAATGGGTAAGTGTTGTCAGTCTAATTGAGCAACATTTGAACATGAAAACAAAAATTTGAATAGACATTATCTCCAGTGGAAAGCAATTCTGTGACCACTTTGTAATAGAGTTGTCTGAGCGATTCACCATAGTAAAGACGGGTGTACCTAGCCCTGCTATACTGGAATAAACTTGCTCTAGGAGGACGTATCTCTTTGTTTTTGAAGTGTTTCCTAAGAGCAGCAGGTAAATCGATCTACTACTGCTGGTAAGGGAGCTGTACTGTACAGTACCACCATGACTAAATTATTAGATTAGATAAATATTTGTTGCATGATCTTCATAATTTCTGTTACCTTGTTTACTTTATCAGGGTGCATCAGCAAACTTCTTTTTTTTAAATTGGTTGTTACTGTTGTTGTTGTTTGTTTTTGTTGTGAATAAAAACATAATTAAAATTATTTCAAATTGTTCTAAAACCCATTTTTATTTATCATGTCCTTGGGCATTCAATACATACAAACACTTCATTCCTTATTGAACAGTTGGAATGTACATAAATGTTGAGTTCTCGGGTACACAGTACATCTGCAATTCATCGGTATTCATTCAAAATATTGTTATCCTGCTACGCTAAGGTATAGAGAAGAGTGTTTTCTCTTCTAGACATCCCCAAATAACTTGTGATGTGGTGTGTCAATTTTTTCTCACTCCTTACCATTTATAACTGGACTTGTTCTTGAGATAACCAACAGCATGAAAATTGGATTACAGAATAAAATTGAGCACCAAAATTAAAAGTTTTAGAAAGATGATGTTTAAGAGATACTTTGAGAACTATTAAGTAACTGCACCACACACAGATGAGGAAACTACAGTCTATCTTGCTTCTCTAAAGATTCTACTACCCCTCACAATCATATCATTATCATATCATAATTAACAGACATTCTCTCTTGGTCAACAAATTTAATAAAATATATGAAACAATAACAATTACAAAAAGTTCTTTTCATTCAGAACAAAAAAAAATATAATCGATCAGTAGCAATCACTGTAAAAAAGCTCAACACAGTTAAGTCAGGCTCTTACGTGAGTTTGGAAGTTCTTGACATCAGGAATGTAACAGTATACCTACAACTCTAAGGCTTTTGAGGGATACAAATTGCACAGATCTGAATGACTACCAATTTAAGAGCCTGAGAAATATTAAAGCCCTAAATATCCACTCTTGCTGAGACTTGTAGCTTTTTATTCCACCTAACAGAAACACTCAACTTAAAAAGCAATTTAAAAAAAATATCAATAAATAGACAAAGACACGTATATCAAAAATAGAAAAGCACTTTACTTTGTGTGACAAGAAAAGAATCAGTAGTGGCTAAACAGTTGAAACAATTTTTTTTGAGGAAAGTTGCTCCTTTAAGTTTTGAATTCTCAGAAGAATCAAAATTACTGTTGGCCATCTCAATGGGAAGTATGGGAACCTCATAATTTAACTACTGATAACAATGATTTTGAGATTTGAGAGACAACCAAGAAATGGCAAAAATCTAACAATCACCCAGTCTTTTACGTCCACTGTTAATCAAAAGTCTTTTAGGTTGATCTATAAAACATTAATTTATACAACGATTTAAGAGCATTTTTCCCCTTTCAGTGCAAGCATGGAAATCCACAAGTGCAGATAAATAGATCAAATAAAATACACTTCCCCCTAAGCTAAAAGTTTCTTTAGCCATGAATCCTCAGATTGTTTTCTGACTATTCTCGTCTTATCACAGAGCCTCGCCAAAAGGGGAGAGGCAATAAATGGGTTCAAGGGTGACTTTTCAAATGTTAAGCAGCAACCATTGCATCATACCTGCGGAGGACTAACTCACAGACCTACTGATGCATAAAGGTTGGACAAGAAACCACTTACAATCAGATTTTTAATTTCTGTACTTCTTAATAATGATAATGGCACCGGAAAATCGCTGAACGATCACTGGGTCTTGCAAGAGAGAAAGCTTAGCTAGTGAGAGCACAGAAAATCGTAAGGGATAAAGTTACAATTTAATTTTAGTCAGACTGATATTAACAAAATTCAGAAATTATTTTAAGCCGTTGCCTGTCTCCAAATGTGGTAAGAATTCTTGGAACTACCCAACTTTTCTCGTGTTATAGCTCTGCCACTGCTGGACACATTGCATCTCCCCACTTAGCCTGACTGCTTTGACTCATTTACCATTTAGGTAAACAGACTGAACATCCTCGTTACTGAACTAGTTTTCAAATCACCATATTTGCTAGGTATTAAACATAAACATCAGTGCAAAACCAAGATGGCCTCTCAACTTGCAATCCAAGGCCATCTTGTACAAGGTACTAGAAAAAATTGAGACCCATTCTTGCATGGCACAAATGCTGCTATGCAGGAGATCACACAAGTGCATGGCAACCTTTTTTGAAAGTTACATTTTTTGCAGATAAAAACTGCTTAAAACAAAAAAATTTAAGAGTCAACTGAGCAAGAAATATCTTGTTCTCTCATTTCTAAAAGCAAAAGATGAACTACAAGATCATAAAAGAAAGTCTTTCGATGCACTTAAATTCACTTTTTTTTTTTTTGACAAAATTAAGAATCACATTATATCCCATTTATTACTTTTCTTTTCCTTCAAGTTTTAACATTGCTAAAACACATTGGCAATGCCTCTTAGTTTTTTTTGTGTGTTTTTTTTTTTTTGTCTTTTTTATAAGGCTGATTTTGTTCAATAACTTACTATAAAAATTACCATATTGATAAAACTTTTACTGAGTAACTTTTTCATAAGGTGCATATTTAGCAGTGTGCTGGGCTTACAGAACTGAAAGGGTGAAATAGGATGCACTCACAGTAAGGATGAAGCTCCTTCATCCAAAATCCAGAAAAGCTTCCCGTCAGCAGGCTTCACCCGGCCAGCAGGGAGGTCCTCCTTGTCTTTCAGTATTCGCTGTTGACAAGAACATAAAAGAGTTTTGATAGCTATCACCATAATAAGGCAGTTGATCAGATATGACAAACATACAGGGGGTGATGCATACCTTCACCATCTCAGCTTTTCCTTGACCAGAAATAGCAAATATACAGTTCTCAGCATTGTTAATAATGGGAAAAGTGAGAGTAATACGGCTCGGAGGTGGTTTTGGGGAGTTGGTAATGGGAGCAATCCAGACTGAAGTTTCATCTAGTAAGCGATGACCAGGAAAAAGAGAGCAAGTGTGTCCATCAGGCCCCATTCCAAGAAGAAGGGCATCAAAACGTGGCAAGCTGTCAGGCGCAAAGAATGGAGCCATTTTGCGGATATAGTCCCTAGCCGCATCTTCGGCTGTAGATTGAAATTTAAAAAGGAACACATTAGTCACATTTATAATTGTAAGTTGGGAAAATATTGAAATTTTAAATTTAAAATTCCGACTGCTATTCTTATTTAGCTTACCCGTCAGGTGGGGGTCAATTTGAATGAACTGGTTTTCTGAGAGAGGGACAGTTCCAATGAGAGATTTACGGTAGGCTCCATAGGTTGAATCAGGGCTCTCTGATGGGACGACTCGTTCATCACAGAAAAATAGACGCCATTTACTCCAATCTGTTGTTATTTTTGACAGCCCAGCAGACAAAAAATTCACCAGAGATCCCCCTGTAAATATAAATGGTAATAAGCACAGTGCTACTAGCTTTAATAACAGTATAGACAGGAATAAAGAACTGAATTTTTGACAATAAATTCAATAGAAACAATTGAGAAAAACATTAAAATACTGATGACGAAGCAATGAAAATGAAAATAATAAGTACATTATTTATTATTATTGGATCTGTTGACTCTATTACATAAGGTGTTTAGCAGTGTTAACAAAGAGGTGCCTCTTACATGGCATGATATGACATAGTGTGACCAAATGCAAAGCAAGGGACCTAATGACACAATAATCTAATTGAGCAAATTTTGAGTCAGACCCTCCAAGCCAAGGGCAGGACGGGGGGTTCTAACCTGACAATCCTATCTTGAATACATCTTCGGACTCGATGGCTTTGTTGGCGATTTCTTCTATCAATTCACAAAGCTTTCTAATCACGTCTTCTTCCGCCTTGACACGAATTAACTGAGTAGACTCCATAGCAAGTGAAACCAATGACTAGGCATGAACCGTTCACAAGCTTTCACGTTGACCACGACCTGCAGCCGCGACCGCTCAACGCCTACCTGCAAAATGACGCGGGCACGGACGCCTCCCCCTCCTTTCCTTCCCTCTGCCCACTACCATGGGGGAAAACTTAGAAATCAGGCAGCCAAACCATGTCTAAAAATTGCTTTTATTCCACTATTTTTTTCGGGTCTAAAATAAAGAACTCAAAATACTGATTCGAACAGAATGAAGAAAGTGTACTAAAACTCTTCCCGTATATTTTTTTCATGTCCAAAAGTAAAATAAAGTAATTTTTGTTTGTTTTTGAAAGGTTGGTGTGCATGGCTGTAATTAGTTTTGTTTTGAAATTCGCGCCTGATTCGCGCCAGCTGTGTTCCTGCCTTCAGTGTAAAGCCGGGTGTGTGTGGATACATTGACCTAAGCACCAAGTCACTGAAGTATTTACAGTCCGAGGAGCACCTCAACAAAATTGATATGTCTGACGAAATTCTACCTGAAGGCTGGGAAAAACGCGTGAGCCGTTCCACAGGTTTGCTAATAAATTTTCATTTGTCATGGTTTTATTTTACACTATCTTGTGCATGGCCATGATGGAAGAGGTTAGGGTTTATACATAAAGTCTGCAGGACTACTAAAAATAAAATTTAATCTCAACGTTTATAAAATTAAGATAATTTAAAGACTAATTATTTGTTTTTGACACATATGATTTACGAAACCTAATTTACTTCTTAACAATTTGAATGAAATATTTGCTTAGTTCACATCGTACAATGTCAAGAGCTTGTCAGTGGTCAAGCAGAAATTTCAAGAGCCTGTCAGTACATTACAAATTCACCAAAAATCAGTAGGGATTGCTAATATTCTTTCACATAACAAATTTTACCTGTTTTGTGTATGGTTTACAGGACAACATTACTACTTGAATGTCTATACTAAGGAAAGTCAATGGGATACTCCTACGAGTCCTGCATCTTCTAGTCATGGTGGTCCATCCAAAGTTCAGTGCAGTCATTTACTTGTGAAGCATGAGGGATCTCGCAGGCCGGCTTCATGGCGGGAAGATAATATAACTCGAACAAAGGATGAGGCAATTGAAATATTGAAAGGTGAGTTCTTCTTAATGTTTGCTCTGTCTTTTTGGTACAGAAGTCAAAGTCTGTAAGCTTACAAATTTTGTTCACTGGGTGCCAATTTGAACGTTGTCATTAGACAAAAGGGAATCAATTCATTTTGTTCTTGTACTTCCGCAAAGAATGTCAAGACATTCATTGATATTTTTGGTCCTCCTCTGTTAGATCTTTGTGATGTTTCGTCATCATTCTTTTTCCAAGCTTAACCATTTCTTTTTCAATGCGATGCATATTGTGGTCCACCTCTCTCAAACTTTTGTGTGCGGCCATAGCAGTCTCAGTAAATCTAGCAGTAAACTCACTTTCAAATGTGATGACCTCATTTGTTGTCGAAAGTTCCTTTTTCAAATCTGTAAATACCTTTTTGCTCTCATCCAATTTTTTTCCGTAACAACTGAGCTCATACTGTAACTTTGAGAATCGCTCCTCAAACTTTTTTAAGTTTGTTGGGTTCATTCTTACTATTTTCTCTTTCTCTGGAGAGCTTGGGTCTAGAATGGAGGAGCAATTCACACAATTACTAGGATTTCTCAGGACTAAATTTTTGTCTCGAGTCCATATATCACAAATGTGAACCCAATATATGATTTACCTCAGAATATTTATCCTTCTGATGTCAGCAAGATCCAGACTCCCTCAAACAGATTCTGGTAGTCATAGAAACCATACATATTCAAAGCCTGTCTGTAATTGTTTCAACTGTTTTTGATCTATAGTAAAGTACCTTAACTGCACTTATGTCTCTACGGTCTCTACTGTGGTACATATATTGATCCTGTCTTTATTAAATGGCAAATGTTGGAAACATATTCAGTGTGTACTAATTTAACGATAATCATTAAAATGTGCCTCTTTTTGTTGTTTTTCAGGTTATGAGGAAAAAATTAAGTCAGGGGATGCAACCCTTGCAGACTTGGCATCTAAGTACTCTGACTGCAGCTCAGCAAAACGAGGTGGTGATCTAGGTCCTTTTACTCGAGGGGCAATGCAAAAGCCGTTTGAGGATGCAGCATTTGCTCTTAAAGTTGGTGAACTGAGTGACATTGTGGATACTGATTCAGGGGTGCATCTCATTTTACGCACTGCCTAAAACAGTTATATTCCAGCTCCGTCAGTGTTTCTATCTTTAATTTTCTGAAGTGTACTCGCTTTATGAGGAAAAACAATTGTAGAAATTATTCATGTTGTGTTCCTTTTAATTATTTTGTGTGGAAAGTAATGCTAAAGCAATGACCCTTGTTATTTGTATCAACTGGAAATAGCAACACGAGCCCATTGGCTTGTGATACAGTGGTTTTGCTGTTTAACTTGTAAGCAAAGATTAGTTGTTCTCCTCAAGATTTTTTCCCTTTTCTTTTACTTCATAGTACGTTTGTAATAATTGTTACCTGACTTCTTACATATCCATGACTGGAAGACCTCTGAAACAATTATTTGATGTATGAACACTTCTTTATGGAGGAGACACTGATTTTATTTAAGTTGCATTTGCAGAGATCGAGTTACCTGGATTTTAGTTTTAATTTCTATTTCATAATAAAATTATGATGTGTTTAAAGAATAAGTTGAAGTCATTAGTGTGGCTTCATCTGGAACTTTTCATAATACTTGAGGTAGCTTACACATAATTCCTCTTACTATTTCATGCATAATGCTTAGCCCATTTGCTAATCTTCTATCAGTACCTCAAATTATTTTAAAATAAAACGTTTGTGTCAAAAGAGTCAACCTTTTTAAAACAGTTATTCCTCCTAATGCATACATGCCACACTTGTTGAAAGACTGTAACTGTCTCCGCATGAAAATACAAAATTTAAGGAGAGTTAAAGAGCAACCACCAAACTTTCTTCCTCATGTTTTTCCTAAAACGAAAATCGTTGTCACTTTTCCCAGGATCCTCCCGTGGAAGTCAGACAGAATGTATGAATTTACAGGGAAATCCCCCCCCCCCCGCAAAGAAATTGCAAAAAGCCTCGCAAGCTTGCAGCCCTGGTCAGATGCGCGCATTCCTAATTTTTTGTATTGAAATGCAGTATTGAAATACCAAGACAATCGACCATTCGCGTGAATTTGGAAAAAGTCATTGACTTTTTTCACCTGTTTTACTCCTTGCTTGTGGTGCTACTAAGCAAAGAAAAAGCAGAGAGCAACCGTCGCCTGTCGGTTGTGGCCATTTCCGGAACCGACTGTGTGAAGAAGACAGAGAAGAAACAGTCGAATAAATTAAGTTGAGTCCGCCATCTGCCGAAGCGTTTTGTTCGTTTACATGATTCCCATTAATGAAAACTCCGTCATAATGTTGATCTGAAAACGTATTTGAAGATATATCCCGATGTTGTACATAGGCGGCTCTTCATGTAGATGTAATATCTTTATCGCTTTTGCCTCCCGGGGAAGCGTTTCGTGGATACCAAAGAAAGCTTCAAACGCGTTTGAAGCTTTCGAGGTCGTATTCATGGAACTATGAACCTGGACTCCTTGTCTTTTGCCCTGTCACAAATAACGTATTTGGTCGCTAATTTAACCAAGAAGAACTTCAAATCAAGCTCTCAAGAGTTATCACAGGTGAGATAGTAATGGAAAGGACGAGTTTGGCCTAGACGCTGCCGATGATATAAACAAACTTCATATCTGTTTTGCTTGATTTACAACCCTTTATACCTTTCATTACCGATACATTTTTATTTTTTATTATGATTTGTGTTTGTAAACACTTACTAAATACTACTATCGACTATATACATATGCAACAGCAACGTAACCTTCTTAACCTACCTTTCCTCAAATCTGCTGACTTACCAGCCGTTCTTGTGCCGAGTCGTCTCCTGTCACTACGCGTTTTGGTCTATGACTTGTTTACTTGTTGTGGAGTGTGTTTTGTTAAACACATTTTACTTTTTAGGGTGGTTATAGGTTTAGTTAACTTTTGAAATGGACTTGGTTTTATAATCTTAACTTTGACACATTCTGCCTTTTCCATTTAGTTAGTGGGGCTGTATGGCGTGGAGGCGGACCGACATCTGCTGCGCTGCCTGTTGTCTCATGTTGATTTGAGTGTAGACGGCAGCAAAAGCAATAACAGTCTCCTGTTGGAGCTCCTCGGCCAGGAGTGCAGTGCTCTGCTCGCCAAACCATCGCTTGTCTCCAATATTTGTTACGCCGTTGACAACCCATTACACCATCAAAAGGTAGGATTGTAGTTTTTCATATGCACTTTGATTTATTGGTTGGTAACTTCATAAGTCTACATAAATATCTTTGTTAGTTATAAGTAATGCTTCTTTTCCTGACATTCACTTACACTTTTCAGACCCTTAAACCATCACCTCTGCTCTTTACTCAACTGAGTAAAGTTCTAAAGCTCAATCCTGTTCAAGAAGTTGTCTTTGGTTTGGCTCTTACTCATTCAGCTAATCCAGACACTCAAAACTTTGCCACTCAATTTGTAAATCAGAAACTTACGGAATTAATCAGATCCTATATTGACCTCGGTGAGTCTTAGCCCACAAATTAAATTATTTTGTTTTCTGGAAAGATATTTGACATTTTAAAATATTACAGATTCTAGTAGGGGCCATCACGAAGGAGGTTTGCATGATTCCACACCTGAAGTTCTCCATTTGATTTTAAGCAGTGTGTTTTGTGACCCAGGCAATCAATTTGGTATGTGTAGTTTAAAATTACCCTTCTTTTATATCTATACTGCCCCTCATATGGCTTTTGATTGGAAATGTCTTCCTTTGTTTATCACTAGGTGTAACATCAGAAACTAAAGAATCATTCTTAAAAAATCTTCGCAGAGACTTTCCACGTGAGTTGGTACCTGTTGTACTAGCTCCGTTACTCTTCCCAAATAAACCTGATTTGCCTATGGACAAACTAAATCAAGACAGCACAGCCATGGCAAACTCTCAGGTTTGTAGTGAGGTTTTTAGCTAGTTGTACTATGCCTGGAATATTTTCTCATCACACTTGTCTCTATAGCAACTCGCCGACATGATTATGGAGATGGGCTATAACTTCACCTCCTCATTTGAACAATGTCGCAATGCATTGGGCTCACTTTCACTTGGTGGACGCGACATACCTGCGGGTGCTGTGGCCCGTATTCTTTCCATGATGGCCAGAACTCACAGTGGACTCGATGATCAGGTTCATAATTAATTCTATCTATCTGTCGTAAAATTTATGAGATGTTCATTTTACACATGTCAATAATTTCTTCACTTTCTTGTACCTCAGGTCTCTCTACAGAGCCTGAATTCATCCAATTTCTGGGGTGGAAGTGAGTCAGGTGTCAAAGATAAAGGTGGAGGGGTTAATGATCCATCACATCCCACAACATGGAATATTGAAGTTTTCATCCAAACCCTGAAGGAACTTGTTCCAAATATAGTTTGGAATGATGTTGTTACCCAACTTGATCATCCTGACTTCATCATCAAGGACCGTATGGGCCTCAACCTTCTCACCAGTGCTCTACTGATGGGATGGCAAAGCCAAGGATCACATCATGAGCTCTTCCCTGTTGATTTCCTGTATCGTAGGGTGTGGAGAAACACAGAAGGGCAATTCTCTTTGCTCCAGCAAATTCTCAAAAATCCAGATATATTTTGCATAACTGATTATCCATTCCACTCAGCTCCTGTTGATGTTCTAAAGGCACCACCAGAAAGTGACAACAAAGAGATAGCAACCTGGTATGTTTAGCAATCTCATCACCAAACAAGACTTATCTTACACCAAGGGGCTATTACTATTTCTGTCTTCTTCTTCTTTTTTCAGGCGATGTGTTGACTTGGTAGAAACATTGTTACTACTGGCTGATCGAGGTCTCTATGCTCAGGTTCAGGAACTCTTTAATGTGCCAATTACATTGTGCCCAGATGTTCTCGTATTAGTTTTACTGAACATCAGCTCACCAGTCACAATACTCCGTCAAGAACTCTTCAAAACCCTCATTCCTATTTTCCTCAGCAACCATCCAAACTCTGCTATTATACTGCACAATGCCTGGCACAGCCAGATGATTTCAATCAAACCCATAATAATGCATGCCATGGCTGAATGGTACATGCGGGGTGATACTGACCAGACAAGATTGTCACGCATTTTGGATGTTGCCCAGGATCTGAAGGCTCTCACTGTTTTGCTCAATGCTCAGTCATTCCTTTTTGTCATTGACTTGGCCTGTCTAGCCTCTAGACGAGAGTACTTGAAGCTTGAAAAATGGTTGGCTGACAAAATTCATGATCATGGTGAGCCCTTTGTGTCTGCTTGTGTCAAGTTTCTCCAGAGGAGATGCCCTCAGATCATGGGTGGGGTAATCAAGGATGAAAACATGCCCAAATCTGCTCAACTGCCTCATGAAACACTTGCAGTCATGCTGAATTGTCTTCAGGGTTGTACTGGGTGAGTTCAATTCCCTCAAATTTTGAAGTGTTAAGTTATGTATATCAATGCTTGAGTCTTAATATCTTTTTCTATTGCAGTGGACTATCTCAGGAGCTTACTGAAGTTATTATGACGATGGTAGCAAACTGCAGCTTGCTTCTGAACAAACCCAGGCAACCTCCACCTGGTCCTGTCCTGCGGTCTCACTCTCAAGCACACCGCTCTGGGCTGGAGCACTCCCTACTCGGTGGACAGGTATGTTTTACTCAAATTGTTAATGCAGTGGAAAACTGCAGAAGAGAAATTGTATTTATGTTGGTAGGTGTATATATGTATATCTTTTTCCCTTTTCTTCATGTTTCTTGTTTCATTTTTCAGGTGTTTCCCAGTTCTCAAGTGTCTGATCCCATTGCGTCACTCAGTTCCAGCTTAGTTGGCCTTAATTTGGGAGGCATGCCTGGTGGTATGGGTGGAGTAGGTGGTGTTGGTCCCCCAAGTAGTTCAGCTTTTAACTTGCCAGGTAGCCTAGGTCCTCTTGTCTCAACTCCAGGATCTCCATCAAGATTGTTAGCTCCATCTGGGCCCACAGGTCCTGGACCTTCGCAAAGCCCATTTCCTATGCTCCTCGGTAATCAACTACAGCATGTTGGTGGGCCAGTTGGCTCACAGGTACCTACAGGAGCAGCTACATCATTGGTTGGAGGCATGGGAATGCCTCACTTGGGGTCCCAACAAGTAGACAAAACTCGTCTTGGTGAAATTTCTCAAATGTTCCCTGAAATGTCACCAAATGTACCCAAGGAGATTGAGGATGAAGCCAATAGTTACTTTCAAAGAATTTACAACCATCCTCCTCATCCAACACTCTCTATTGATGAAGTTTTAGAAATGTTAAAGAAGTTTAAGGACTCATCAAGCAAGCGTGAGAAGGTGGGTTGTTTTTTCTGTTTTCATGTCTGAAATTAAGTTACATGGAAAGTGGATTTACTCACTTATTGTACTTTTGTTTCAGGAAGTTTACTATTGCATGATCCGTAATTTATTTGAAGAGTATCGCTTTTTCCCTCAATATCCTGACAAGGAACTCCATATAACTGCTCAACTGTTTGGTGGCATTGTTGATCGTGAGCTTTGTCCGTAAGTTAATCATATCAGTTTGAATTTTCCAAGTCAGAATGACTCTTATCCTAATGACTTCTCAACATTTTTTCTAATCTTATGATGTTGCGGTTTCAGTAACTACTTGGCGATGGGTTTAGCACTCAGATCCGTGCTAGAGGCTTTACGCAAGCCGCATGGAAGCAAGATGTATTATTTTGGCATTGCAGCCTTGGATAGGTTCAGAGGAAAACTGAAAGATTATCATAAGTATTGTGAACATGTTTCGGCGATACCTCACTTCAGAGAGTTTCCACCTCATCTCATAGAGGTAAGGATAAGAGAGACAAAGTCTCAAGTTACTATCCTCAGTTTTCTGCTTGCATATGCAGTTTAATATTTTCTTTATTTTTCTTTCTTTACATAGTATGTAGAATTTGGGAAAAATTCTATGGAACCTCCACTCCAACCCAGCGGACCTGTTTTACCTGCATCTTTGGCTGCTCTTGTTGCACCTACACAAACACCAACAACAACAGCCATGTCTGCGATTCCTGTTGCAACCAAACCCACACCGTCAACTGGTGGAATGCCAAGCCGCCCCTCAATTGCTAATGCTACAAATATTGATACATTGCTGGTAGCCACTGAGAAAGAAGACAAAATCACTGCCCCTCCTGAAGCACTGCAGGACAAAGTTGCTTTTGTTTTCAACAATTTAAGTCAACTGAACTTAGGAAAGAAATGCGAAGAAATAAGAGACTTGGTGACTGAAGAATATTGGGCTTGGATTGCTCAATATCTTGTGATGAAACGTGCCAGCATAGAACTGAATTTTCATGCCCTTTACTCAAACTTTCTTGACACTTTAAATATTCCACAGGTAAGTCTTTTTATAATTAGTATTATTATCTATAAACTCGGTTGATTTGTTTTTTTTCCCCCATACCCAGCATGTTTTAATCTATTCTTATTCTTATTCAGGTGTACACCTTGGTTTTAAGGGAAACATACAGAAACATAAGAGTTCTTTTGAGAAGTGATAAGGGCATTGCAAACTTTTCTGATCGTTCCTTACTAAAGAATCTTGGCCACTGGTTAGGCATGTTAACGTTAGGCAGAAGCGGACCGATTTTGCACATTGATATTGATATCAAATCTCTCCTGGCTGAGGCTTATAATAAGGGTCAACAAGAGCTTCTTTATGTTGTACCTTTTGTGGCCAAAGTCTTAGAGGCGTGTGCCAAAAGCAAGGTAACTGTCTTCTTACTTTATTTTCCTAGTGGTTCTGTAGCAAGCTCCAAACTAATATCTGTGGGCTTTCCTTTCAGGTTTTTAAACCACCTTGTCCATGGACAATGGCAATTATGAATGTCCTTGCAGAGCTCCATCAGGAACCAGACTTAAAGCTTAATCTGAAGTTTGAAATAGAAGTTCTTTGTAAAAATCTTAACATTGATGTAGCGGATTTGAAACCAAGTCATTATTTGAAAGATCCAGCAAGTGTGGAAAATATGGAATATCAGCTATCTCAACCAAAGAAGAAAGATCAGCCTGGTACTACATCTGTGCCTTCTACACCTCAGACTCCAGGTATTTTAACATTCATATAGCAAGTAACACAAATTTAGGTATGATACTAGGCAAATCTAATTCTTGAAATGATCTGGGTTCTAGGTCCGCACTCTGGACCCTCTGAAGAAAGCAGCCATGCTGTCCCCACAGCAACAGTTGCTCCAATGTCAAATTCCTCATCCTCATCAGTTGTTTCTCATGCAGCAGCTGTAGCTGCTGCTAACCATGCTGCAGCTGCTGCAGCAGTTGCTGCTGCTACTGCAGGGGCAGATCTTCGGGCTGTTTCCATGCTGCCTCCAGCTCCAGTGCCACAGCCCTGTACCTCACCTCCTCCAGGCCTTCCAGCTGGTCCACCTGAACCACGATTCTCTTACTCGGATATCAATGTGTCTGGAATTACAAATATTGGCAGACACATCGTCATTAACAACAATGTTGCGTTATTCCAAGCCAATCCTCAACTCAAGCCTTTTGTCAGACCTGCTGTTGAACGAGCTGTTCAAGAATGGATTGCTCCAGTTGTTGACCGTTCAGTAAAGATAGCTCTTACAACCTCTGAGCAGATTGTCAAGAAAGACTTTGCTTTGGACCCAGAAGAGTCTCGTATGCGCATTGCTGCTCATCACATGGTTCGAAACTTGACCGCTGGAATGGCCATGATTACGTGCAGGGATCAGTTGTTACTGTCAATTGGATCCAACTTGAAGACTGCTTTTAGTTCTCACATGATAGGTGCAACACAGCAGCAGAAAGACATGTGTGAACAAGCTGCTCAACAAACTGCCCAAGATAATATGGAAGTTGCATGTGCATTTATCCAGAAGACAGCTATCGAAAAGGCAATCCCTGAAATTGACAAGCACTTAATGGCAGAGTACGAGCGACGCAAGCACGCACGTAATGAGGGTCGACGTTATTGTGACCCTGTTGTTCTTACATATCAGGCTGAAAGAATGCCAGAGCAAATCCGCCTGAAAGTTGGTGGTGTTACTCAGCAGCAGATGAGTGTTTATGAAGAATTTGCACGGAACATTCCAGGCTTTGTTCCGATGACAGAAAGAGAAGCTGCACTGTTTGTACCCAAACCATTCCCCAATCCCCTTACTGTTGTTCCTTTCCAGAATACAGGTCCTGCGCAAATAGCCTATGGGGATGAAAGCAGTGCCATATATGACAAACTAGTTTCAGAACTAGAACATAATATGAATAGCATACTCACATTTGTTCCCACGCAGTTAGCAAACTTGCACAGTTTGATGGAAACATTGATGATTGCAAGGCGCTCTCCCAGAGATGCGTTAGCTGCTATGACACTTTTGCAAAAGACAGTCGAAAGTTTGCTGGAGGGAATGAGCCAGTTATCTCAGATCATTAATGATCCTGAAACAATGACGAGATTTAGAGATACTCATCTCCGTATTTTGAAGGGCCTGCAGGATCAACGCATGTATGGACAACAATGGACAAACAAGCAAGTCACTCGGTGCCTTATTGAATCAAGAGGAGATCTCCGATACAATCCAGATGCTGTTGATTGTCTAGTGCGCTCTGGCTTGGTCAACATGCAACAGTATGATCTGCACCTTGCCCAAGCCATGGAGAATGGTCTTAATTTCCCTGTGGTTGCATTTGCTATGCACCTTGTCCAGCTGTACCTAGTTGATGAACGTCTCAACACCAACATCACTGAGAGTGATCTAGGGAACACCATTGAAATGTTAGCGCGGATCGCACAACATTCTCGCTCACCACCTGAAGGCCTTACTGCACTTATTGAGCTACTTCGCACAACTCATGATCCCAATTTCCTTGTGGATAGAGCACCGGGGGGACCAACTGCTCACATCCATTCTGGTATACTGCAAGTGACATCTCGCGACTTTGATGATTTGGGATACGTTGAAAAGACTGACTACCTGCTGAGGGAGTGGGTCTCACTCATTCACTCTCCTAATGGAATCAGAGAGCCCACAAAAGCATTTGGTACTTTTGTTCAGCATTTGAATGTGCAAGGTTTCTTGAAGACAGATGATGTGATTACAAGATTTTTCCGCATCAGCACTCGACTATGTGTTGACATGTGCTGTCAAGCGCTCACTGAGCAATCCAACTCTCCTACTGTAGTACGTACAAAGTGCTATACCACTCTGGATGCGTATGTAAAACTTATAGCTCTGCTTGTGAAACACTCAGGTGATACTGCCAATTCAGGCACAAAAATTAACCTTCTGAACAAGGTCTTGGGAATTGTTGCTGGTGTGCTATTACATGATCAAGATGCTCACACTATAGAGTTCCAGCAACTACCCTATCAACGCATGTTTATCATGCTATTTTTAGAGCTGAATGCTCCTGAACCAATTTTGGAAACTATTAACTTCCAAGTGCTGACTGCTTTTTGTCACACACTCCATATCCTATCTCCATCCAAAGCTCCAGGCTTTTCTTATGCATGGCTGGAGATTGTCTCACATCGAGTATTTTTGGGTAGAATGCTTGCTCTTACTCCTCAGCAAAAGGGATGGGGAATGTATTCTCAATTGCTGATGGACCTCTTCAAATTTTTGGCTCCATTCCTGAGGAATGCTGAACTTGCCAAACCAGTAACCTTGCTGTACAAAGGCACATTAAGACTGCTACTTGTACTGCTTCATGACTTCCCAGAATTTCTGTGTGATTATCATTATGGGTTCTGCGATGTAATTCCTCCTAATTGCATTCAGGTTGGTGAATTTGTTAGATATAGTGTACTTTCCTTTAATTTGAAAACAGTTTTAAAGAATCTTCTTATCATTACAGATGCGCAATTTGATTTTGTCAGCCTTCCCAAGGAACATGCGTCTTCCAGATCCATTCACCCCAAATTTAAAAGTTGACATGTTGCCAGAAATAGCTCATGCTCCTCGTGTCTTGACTAACTTCTCTTCTATGATCCAACCACCAGCTTTCAAAAAGGTTTGTTTTCTGTGCTTTTGTTACAGAGCACTTTCCTCATTTGCTGTAAAGCTATGTAATTTATTTTATGTTTATTAGTATCACATGTGATTGATATACCCTTAATTCCCGTAGGATCTTGATTCATATCTGAAAGCACGTGCTCCTGTTACCTTCCTGTCTGAGCTTCGTGGAAACCTACAAATCTCTCAGGAACCTGGAATGGCATACAATATTCCTCTCATGAATGCTTTGGTTCTCTATGTGGGCACTCAAGCTATAAATTACATCCGAAGCAAAAGCCATACCCCAAATATGACAACAATTGCTCATTCGGCTCACATGGACATCTTCCAAAATCTAGCAGTTGATCTGGATACTGAAGGTTTGTTTCATTACCAAATTTTAATTTTATGTCTTCATTTGGTTTGTAGTGCTCTTAACCGAATATAGTTGAGTAGAAAATAAGGATATGAAATGTATTATTTTTCTTTGTACTTTCAGGTCGATACCTATTCCTTAACGCCATAGCTAATCAGCTGCGCTACCCCAACAGTCATACTCACTATTTCAGTTGTACCCTACTGTACTTATTTGCAGAGGCTAACTCAGAAGCAATTCAGGAACAAATAACAAGGTAAAAATAGAGTACTGCACATGTCATATTTATTATTCAGTATAGTATTTTATTTTGTTGTTGGCTTTTATGTCAATAGCTTCGTTTATTTGTTTTTTGAACAGTAAACATGTTCTGTTTAAAGTGTGGCAACAGCATTTTTAACTTCATAATCCTATTTTTCAGAGTCCTTCTGGAGCGTTTAATTGTAAACCGCCCACATCCTTGGGGTCTTCTTATCACCTTTATTGAGCTGATCAAAAACCCAACCTACAAATTCTGGCTTCATGAATTTGTCCACTGTGCCCCAGAAATTGAGAAGTAAGAGTCATTCCTAATTTATTCACTGTACTCCATGGTCCACTTAAATCTCACAATCCATTAATTTGTCTGATTTTAGGCTTTTTGAGTCTGTGGCTCGATCATGCATGGTGCAGAAACAAGTTCAACCTGTTCAGGAGAACGAAGTTCAAGAGTAATTCAGCAATTACTTCCTTCATTCAATGAAGTTCATGTGTCAGTCTATTTTCAGCATATTTTTTGTGCATTCTGGAGATCCGGTTTCTGTGGGATCTCTTAGATTGGAAGTTTAATTGAAGTTGGTAAAGAATGTGATATATTCTCAGTACTTTTTTTTAATATTTCAATGTGATTATACAGTTAGGTCTTCTGTGTGAAAGCAGTTGATTGACTCCAGAATTATAAACCTCTCCTCTGAGCTTTAGTTATTGTCATTTCCTCTCTTACATATGCTAGCAGTTCCCTTTGGTATCTGAATCAACGGAACTTTTGGCGCATGTGATTGTTATTCCCTCTTCAGTAGGGGGTTACAGGAGATGAAAGATATTTTTTAAGCTCTCACTATGTGCATGATGGTGTTTTCTATTTTGTTTGTACCGAAGCTTTTACTTAAAAATGTGTGTGATATATATATAGCTGGTGGTAAAATTTGCTTTAAATTAATGTTATACATACATAATCCTTTTATCTTCTTGTTGTTGAGAGAGAAGATTGAGATTTAGCCTAAACTTGGCTGTCTCCATAACTGCATGAGACTTTAATACTTGCTGCTGCTGTGCAGCATCATTTGTGTCCTGAAATAATTTACATTAGATTTGTAAGATGATTATTCTTATATTGATTATTATGAATATTATTGTTAGTTCCAAGTTTATGTTGGTCTGTATATAATCTTTCCTAAACTTTCAGAGCCACAATTTAGCATGTAATTGTAATGGTCCTTATGTTATATTGTGTAGTGTATATAGTATGTATACATGTATCTATATGGAAAACATTCAAATGACTACTTGTTTTGTAATGTGATTGTTTTGTCATAAAATTTGGTCCTGCATTGCGTCCATTACTATTATTTTATATTTCCTATCCGTAGAGTGTGGATATCAGATTGTCCACCAAACTTCCTTCAATGTGAAAGATTATTAAGTACCCGTCATCTTCCTATGAATTTTTTGCTTACTGCAAATACAATCAGCATTAGAAAAATCACAAGGAAATCTTTAATGTCGATTGCCGGTGGCCCAGATTGAATCTGGCGGCAAAACCACGAGACCACGGGACGGTCGATAAATGAAAGAATCAGTGTACCAACGGAGCGTTACCACCGAAGCCGAAAGTTCATAAGGGGAAATCTTCCATAAAAACCTGAGCACGGCCACGATTCAGAAATAATCCAGAATTGACTATCTGCCAGTGCAGGTAATAAGAGGATATTTGAAAAAGAAAAAAAAAAGTTAACTGCTGGGGCATACATTTAGGGTAGTTTTCTCCGGAATAGTGCCAGTTACTTTGGCAGGGAGTTCCTACACACATTTAACAAACTCGCCAAAATTGACCATTGGCATCCAATGTTTCACCCACACGTAAATCAAAGATAGAGGAGAAAATTTTTCGAACAGGACTGGATGAAAACTGTTAAAGGCCTCGTCCTCCCTTGAATGGTGGTTGTTCACCGTATCAGTAATCGGTTAACTGTCATTCATTCCCACCTTTTTTTTTTAGCTTATATTTTTTTGCTTGATGACCATTGATTTGGCCCACCAGATGCGCCACACAACCAGTTATTACTTTCACCTTCTGGGCGCCCTGCCCTGCACCCTTCTCTAACAACCCCCACCTCTAATGGGGATAGCAACATTTCCCGCGCACACCCCCTTGGCTCACCTCACCCCCTAAACCTACCCCCCTTCAACTGCGCAGTGCCGCGCAATGCATGCTGGGATTGGTGCAGGGCCGCGCTTCGAAGGCTTTGCGTTGTGATCACGTGATGTGAACTTCTACAGTTATTTTTTCAGGCATGATGGCGCCAAACGATGGTATCCTATTTTATGTCGATTATTTATTGTGTTTGCGAATTAAAGTGGTCGATACCGTAGATGATAGCCGTCCTGAAAGTAACTAAAAGTGCTCAGTGCAAACAAAGTGCTAGAAGTGGTGAGTTCTGTTGCTGCGTTATGAGGCTGAATTTCTAATGAGGACATGTTGGTTTTGATGACAGACTTGGCTCTTGTCTGTCGGCTATTCGGCCTTTTGTGCGCGCAATGGACTGTTTGAATTGTGATTTGTGATTGAAACACTCTGGAAGTGAAAGTGCCGAACGAATAGTGTGCGAAACAAGTGAAATGGAATCGATATTTGTGTTGTTCTGACGCGAGGGAGGAGTAAGAAAGTTTGTGGAACTCGACGCCAGTGCTGCCATCTGTGTTGTCAATGCTCTTAGGCCTACTCATCCACGGGGATAATTTTTTACTCGCATTATGAAACTGAGCCCATTTTTGCTCCTCACACATGACGATTCTACCCCAAAGATGTCTTCTCTCGTTACCTATGTGCCCTCAAGTAAGGCAATTGGCTTTTTTATGCCCAAACAATCCATTCTGGTCAATGTTTACATCATAATAGCCTAGCCTAGGCTGCGATCCTGGCCATTTCTTACCTCATTTAATTCGCATTTTCTGTCTTTTAACCTTTTATTTTGGTGGCTAATATTTGTTGGTATGTTAGAGGGGACAAATGTTTCACTTTTTCGCATCTAAATGTCTTGTTTATCTGTGCTCTTTGTTTATTGCTCTCCTGTGTGTCATAAGTCTGTTTGGTTATAAACATTATAACAAGCTCAGACCTACTTCTATTTTAGTTAGTCTTCGCATTTATTGTAAATGCTATAGTTTTTTATTTGATTATTTTTTCCTCCTCTTTTATAGATTCTGTCTCCATCCATCTACCTTAATGTTCACCCTCAGCTATGTAGTGAGTATAAGTGTGATTATTGGTTTTGTCTCTACCATTAGCATTTACCCACTTAAATTAAATATAAGTCAACTTGTTTATTTGGTCCAAGATACTTATGTAACTCTTTACCTTTATAACACAGGTAATTCATATTTCTATTGAAAGATGTTTTTTTAATGGGACTCATTCATACTGATAACAGCCGTAACTGAAACAATTAATGTATTATAACGTTTCATGTATTATTATCTGCTGTTTGCATTTTGCTGATGATACTTATTGAACGTCTATCTGTGTTCTTACCATGGGATCAAAGTTGATATAGTATCCATATAGAATGGCTTTTAGTACAAAGTATGATCAGAACTGCAATAATTTGCCTCTTCTCTAGCTAGCCATTGTTCTGTCGAAGGTTTATCTCAAGTAAATTCAGTAGTCAAGAAAATTTACTGCTTCCTTTCCCATCGGTTTCATGACATCATTTTTGTCTATTTGTAGATTAATTACTAATCTTTGGAACAGGTTCTGGAGCCTTGAGAGGCCACTCAGCTCCCAACCCATTCATCAGGGAAGATGTCGCAACGAGTTAAGCGATCCCTGAAAACAGATGATGGCCCAGGTTAGTTTTCTTCTGTGGTTTTTGTCTTGCTATATAAGAAACTAATTTGTACTTTCCGTGTTACCTAATTTAAATTTTAAAATGTAAGTAGTTCAATTAAATTTTATCCTTATTTCTAATTTTTTACCTAGTCCCAACCAAGCGCCGCAAAGGGCGGCCCACCGTGGATGATGATGACTCAACCTCCATAGCAGACAGCATGGGGGCTTGGGCTTCTCGATCTCAGGATAGCCTCAAGCCCCCCAATATCTACAACCGTACAGTTGCAGAAGCGCCTGCTGAGGTATGAATTTGGTAGACAGCTACCTCTAGACCAATTGTAAAAGTGCGTATTTTTATAATTCCATTGGATAATGTTTTTTTTTTAATCTCTAATCTTACAGCTTTTCCGCAAGGATTTGATTAGTGCCATGAAGCTGGCAGATTCTGAACCTCTAACAGCTGATGAATATTGGGTGATAGGAGATCAGTGGAAGCAAGAGTGGGAGCGTGGGGTGCAAGTACCTGTGAATCCTGACTCTCTTCCAGGGCCTTCTGTCACCCTCATCAGTCACTGCCCATCCTCTACTAAGCCAGGCTTTGAATTTAAGCTGTAGGTGTACACCAGTCTTCATGATGTGTTTTGTTAACTTGAACACATAAATTAATCTAATATTTGTGACATAATTCTTTTATTTAAAGGCCAAAGAACAAGTATATCGCCATTTGCAAGGATGATTCTTTTGATAGTGAGACACACATCCTCTCTGATACTCCAGCTAAGGCAGAAAAAGCATGTTCTTATGATTTAGATGATACTGATGCTGCTTGGCTACAAATATTCAATGGTGAAAGAGCTGCCATGGGTAAGCTCAATATCTCAATATTAACTTAGGCCTCCACATCTATTTTTTATATAAAAAAATATTTTATCACTCATGTGCTCTTACTCATCATCTTTTCAGGTCTGGTCCCTATCAAAGAGGATCAACTAGAAAGAGTTATGGAAGAACTTGAAATGAGATGTTGGGACAAAATACAGACAATAGTGAAAACTGAAGAAAGCCTTGGTATTGAATTTGATGAAAATGTTATCTGTGATGTCTGTCGCTCGGTATGTATAATTTCTGGTTTAAAGCCACCCACTGTATGATTTCTTCATGATTCTTTGTATATCTTTATTTGTATGATAATTTGTCCTTCAGCCTGACTCAGAAGAAAGCAATGAAATGGTTTTTTGCGATAGTTGTAACATATGTGTTCATCAAGCTTGCTATGGCATCACTACAATCCCCTCTGGACAGTGGTTGTGTCGCACTTGTGCTCTTGGCAAAAGACCAGAATGTGTTCTCTGTCCAAACAAAATGGGCGCCATGAAAAGTACACAGTCTGGTAGCAAGTGGGCTCATGTCTCTTGTGCTTTGTGGATACCAGAAGTTAGCATTGGCTCTGTTGAGAAAATGGAACCTATTACTAAGATTTCAAGTATACCAGTATGTATTGTATATTATTTAATGTTTCCTTTGACCTGTTAATTAGTGGACTTTTCTCATTCTGTCGTTTCAACTTACAGCAAAGCAGGTGGGCCCTCATATGTGTCCTTTGCCGAGAACGTGTTGGTGCATGTATACAGTGCTCTGTGAAGTCTTGTAAAACTGCATATCATGTTACTTGTGCTTTCAAGCATGGTCTTGAAATGAAAGCCATCATTGAAGATGATGCAGCTGATGACGGTGTCAAGTTAAGAGTAAGAGACTTTTTGTAAGGTATTCTTTTTGACCAAATTATCAAAAATTAGTAACATTTTCAATTATTTTTTTTGCAGTCCTATTGTCAGAAGCATAGTGTTACAAGTAAAGATAAGAAAAGCTCAGCCTCATCAGAGGATGACGAGTCTAAACGTAAAAAGCGGAAAGATATGACTTCTGAAGAGAGAAACCAAGCAAGAGCTGCAAAGTAAGTTGTACCCTTTTCTCTTTTGTTCATTCATTTGTGTCCCCTATTTTTAATGTTTTTTTATGAAGCAAATTCTTCTATCTGAATTTTAATCAATTTCTCTTGTCTGTAGGCTTCAGGAAATTGAAGCAGAGTTTGACAAACATGTAGTTCACACTGATGTTAAACAGTGCTTGGATGTAGATCCTGAAGGTATTCTCTACATCTATAATTTCTGGAAGCTGAAGCGACGTGCTGGTGGGAACAAACCTCTTCTAGCTCCTAAGTCAGATGATGTCGACCTCTTGTCTCAGAAGCAAGAACAAGCTGATCTAGATAAGATGCGAATGTTTGTGCAGCTGAGACAAGACTTAGAACGGGTGAGTAATAATGTGTAGTTAATGCTCCTGCTACATATCATTTTAAGTTCAAATTGTGCTCAAACAGTGCTTTTTCTCTCCTTTAGGTACGAAATCTGTGCTACATGGTCAGCAGAAGAGAGAAACTGTCCAGGACATTCTTCCGTATGCGTGAGCAAACGTTCCATAAACAAGCAGCTGTGCTTAGTGATTCAAATTGTTCACTGTCGCAGCTGGAGGTGCAAGCAGTTATAGAGGCCAATCATGGTCCATCCATCTATGACCGCCTGTATTCTCACACCACATCTGAGTCTTGTTCTACTGACTTCGATGTTATTCTGGCTCGAATCACGGGTCTTGCTGTACCTGAGGAGAATGAAAAACCGAAGACATCAGAACTCAATGGTTTGGTGAAATCTTCTGGAGGTAGACGATCTGGCATGGACAATCCGTACAAACGTATGTACTCGAACGGTATCTCCAGAAGACGCAGTAGTTTATGTAATAGCAGTATGTCTAGTGGCAGTGAGACTGATTCAGGGGCCCAACCAAGGAAGGATTCCCGGTTATGTTTAGACACCTCGGCTTCAAGTTCTGAAGATGACAAACGCACCTTGGAGCGGAAACCACTGAGAGACAGAAATGAAACTAAAGTATCATCCCCTTCACCATCCAAATCTCCTCACAAAAGTTCCCGGGCAGCTAAGCATAGTCTAGAAAGTGGTGCATCAAGCACAGAAGAGGAGAAACCAAGCCCTTTGAAAGGATCAAGACTGAAAAAGTCTTCACCATCCAAAGCAACTGAAGAATTTCCATCTCAACCATTATCCTCAAAGACAGCTAGTCGCTTGGCTAGCTTAGGGTTAGCAGACAGTGGAGGCTCGTGTTCGGAAGAGGAAAAGCCAGTGCTTGGCCAATCAAAGAAGTCACGTAACCGCAAGAAACCTATCTCAAATCTTAAGAAAAGTGCTGAGAAGGATAAAGCAAGTAGCAAAGCTGCAACAATGGCCAAATTAGGTTTGGATAGTGATGCTCTTAGTACAGACGACGAAAAGTCTGTAAGGAAACTTAGCACCGATGCATCCGCTCCAGCGAAAAAGAGGGGGCGCAAGCAACCTGTTACACCAGCGATAGTAAGAAGAGATTCATCAACAGAGGATGATGAAGTTATCAGAACATCAAAGAGCAAGGGCTCTCAACATCGAAACCATTTGAAAAAGCCAGGCCCAGATTCAGATGTTAAAATGTCTGTTAGTGAAGATAGTGATAATGACCTGCTCATCAGGTCCTCTTCTAAGACTGATAGTAAGAAGATTTCAATCTACTCTGATTCTGACTCTGACTCGAAAGATGGAAGCTCTTCAAACTTGACTGCTGATCACCACCAAAATATGATGAGAACCAAAGGAGCTATGAAGGAATTTGTTGGTTTACCTTCAAAATCTGGAAGCAAATCCCCGAAGAAGTCATCAAAATTAAAGTGTAAAGATGAAGAATTGGTTGATGACACCTCAAAAGATAAGGAGAACATTAAGTCCAAAAAGAAAGATAATGCAGCAACCGATCTCATTGTTCCACAAAGGCAGGCTGCAAAGAAGGCCTCAGAAAGTATTCAGAAAGTCTCTCAAGGTAGAATGAAAGACCTGGATCTTGATAAAGAATTACCATCCAAGCCAAGTCCCACAGAGCCTGAGAAGACAAAAGCAAAATCCAAATCCAAAGATGAAGAGAAGAAATCCAGACCTGGTAGGGACTCCAAATTGGCGCCAGATATATATGAATTTGACAAGGACCCAGATGCAGAGCAGGCAGAAATTCTAGCTTATGTCCCTCAAAGACAAGCAGCCAAGAAAGCCAATGAACACATGAAGACAAGTATCAAGAAGACTGACAAGGATGTGCCTGAGGTTGGCCGCTTGGAAAAGGGGAAGAAAGAGCTTGAAATGGAGAAGTCCAAGAAACCCTCTAAACCAGAGCTGAGGACAAAGAAAATTTCCAAGTCATCATCATCTTCTTCTTCCTCAAGCACGTCTTCATCTTCCTCATCAGGTTCATCATCTTCATCCTCTTCAAGTTCTGACAGTGATTCGGAAAGCAGATCCAAATCTCCTGCTAAAAAAGATGTCAAAGCTGAGAAGACACCAGAGCCTGAGCTTAAAAAGGTCACTGCGAAGAAGGAGGAATGGCCCTTTCTTGACAAGGAGTCCAAGTCCTCTGAGAGCAGTTCCCTGGATAGCGACTCAGACTCGGATAAAGACAAGGACAGTAAAAGACCTGCTACTAGGCCCAAACCATCTGCGAAAGAGAAGGAGGGTTCCTCCTCTCAGTTGGCAGGCAAGAAGTCCAGGAAGGCGCCCGATAAGAAGCTTAAAACTTCCGACGGGCGGCCTGAACTCGAACTTCAGCAGCCGCCTTCTGAAAGAAATGAACCATTCCGATCGAAGGACATCAGGTCCAGCAGTGGAGGTGCAGGTGATCGGCTCAGGAGTGTTGAGAGTGGACCAGCTTCGAGAAGATCAGGAAATCTACCTAGTTTCGAAGAACCAATCTCCCCGAAGACCCCAGACACGAGCAGGGGAAGGTCACGCACTAAGGGAGCTGAGGAGTCACCAAGAGACAGAGGAAGAGCGGGAAAACAAGATTCAACTACTCAAAAAGATCAATCAAAGACAGGGAAGAGAAAATCAGACGAAGGCAAAGACAGCTCTCCCCTTGTCAAGCTTGGGTCTCCGCTCAGGAGAAGTGAAACGCCGCGGAGAGGAGCCAAAAGTAGTAGTCCCTCCAAAGAGGAAAGTAAGCCCAAATGTTCTCCAACTGAGGTCAAGAAAGTTTCAAAGAAAATAGATCTCCAGTCTCCCGAAAGGGATGTGGAGAGGAGAAAAAGTACTAGAAATTCATCAAGTAGTTCTCCTGCCCTCAAAAATCTCTCTGAAGACCAACCAACAGATTCAAAGGTGTTGTGTTCTCCTACAAGTGGTTTTAGATCTCCTAAGATGGTTACTTCAGAGATAGGTCTCAAACATGAAGAGGAGTCCTTAGTGAAAACGATGAACTCAATTCTCACCCCCATTGACAAAGACATTTCTGTGATATCCAACAAAAAACATAGCCCAAGACTAGAAGTTTCAAGAGAGAAACCTGTGTTGGAAGAGAGTCATGCCTCCTCATCTTCCTCCTCCTCCTCCTCATCATCATCATCCACTTCTAATGATGATGATGGAGGAAGTAAGGAGAAGTCTCAGGAATCAATACAGAACAAACTACCATCTGAAAAGAACATCTTACCTGAAGAATTAAATCAGAAGATGACGGAATCAGTCCATGATAGAACAAAGAGTTGCGGCCTTGATGCTGGTATTGACTTTCCAACTACTGACCAGGATGCCTTGGAACCTAAAAAGATCAACTCACGGAGCAGTTCTCTTAGTGGGGCGCCGTATCAACATCGCTCAATCTTTTCTCCTCAGCCACCCAAGGATTCAGGAGTCTCTGACCTCTTTGATTTCCATAATGATTTGTATGCAGTTGATGATTCCGTAAATGATGATGGATTTGGGATACCTCCTAATTCAGAGGAAATTATGAGAGCACCTCTCCAATTTTCCTTTAGTAATGAACTTCTCTTCAAAGATGATACTAAGGAAGATACTACTCGAGAGACCATGAATCTTGTGGATAAGTTACGACTTAGTTATTCTAAGCAAAAATCTCAACCTGGGGTTGGCGATATGCCAGAAATGACTACAACTCTTACTGCAGATGCTACTTCTGAGCAGGTTGATCCTGAAATTGAAGTTGTTCCCATGCAACCTAAACCACCCATTGAAGAAATTAATTTGGCTGACGAAATTAACAAGTCTCAAAACTCTGCTCCTGAAATCACCGCTGGGGTCACCCCTCATCATGGTACACCCCATGCTGAGCCTCAATCTAATACTCTGGAACATCCACTGCATGACAAACTTGAAGCACCAGTGTACCAGAGTCCTGCAATTGAACCTCCTTTTAGTGCTTATTCATGTGCTGTTGAGGCAGATAAATCTAAAGGACTGCTGGGGGCACAAATTATGGAATCAGCAAAGAATGCTCAAGCTGAAGAGCGATGGATTCCTCCAAGCGTGTATCCAGAACCAGCTAAAGAAATGCAACCACCTTCCTCATTAGGACTCCCGTCTCATCACTTGGAGCTTGGACAACTTTCTCATGATCCATTTTCGCTTCCATCTCAGACCCAACATCAAGATATGTTACCCATGGGATCTGAAATGCAGCAACAGTCCCTTCATCATCAAGATATGGAGAAATCACTACCATCACATGAAAAGCAGACATCTTTGATGGCTATTGGCCATGATCAATTTGACAGCATGGGTCAGACGCCTCATATGGATTCTCCACTGCCATATTCTGATCATCATTCACAAGCCAAATGGGCAGACAGTCAAGTGTTACCTGTACGCCGTGATTCGACATCTGACGATACTGACTCTGAAGATGATGCTCACAATGAATCGGAACCACTGCCTCCATCATCTACACAAGCCCCACCTGCAGTTGGAACAGATCTTATGACTCCTTACCCAGCTCCATCAATGTCATACCCACCAATGCCAGAGGCTCCATCCTACCATTCGTACTCGGAAGCGCCACCATTTGTCAACCCTGCACCATTATTTCCTCCTCCTACTTTTACTGGATCTACTATGCCCAATATCCCCAATATGCCTAGCATCGCTAATATGCCTAGCATAGCCAATATGCCCAGCATAGCCAATATGCCCAGCATACCCAATATGCCCAGCATACCCAATATTCCAAACATTCCCAACATTCCGAATCTCTACCATCAACCTTATGGGACCTTTCAAGACCACTCTCATGGTATTATGTCTTCAATGACCAACAAGCCAGAAGAGCCACCACAGCAAATACCTCCACCCTGTACAGCTGCATTTACATCATCATCACACAACATGGCGTTTACTGCTGCAATGGTGTCTCCGTTGCCTACTGCAACTCCTACTCCGTCCCCTGTACTTCCTCAGGATCCACCTCTCACACCTGCTGCTTTCCCAACATCAACTGCTCCTCCAACTCCATCACCTGTACTACCTCATGACACCTTATCAGCGTCCACTCCATACTCCTCTCAAACATCTCTGGAGTCCCAGACCATCATATCTGCCTCTGAAAATAATCATCAGTTGCCACCTGTTACTTCAAAAGTTGCTTCATCTGTGGGCAAGAAAACTCCAACTAAGCCCACTCGCTCATCTCCAAGGGTTATATCACTTCAACAGAAAAGCCCTGGGAAATCTCCAGGAAAGTCTCCTCGACAGCAAGAACCCATTGGTGTTAAGCCTCCACCTCAACCACGGGGCACTGCCACTGCTAAAAAAGCACCCAAGGCTCCAAGAGGAGCTAATTCTCAAGGAAGAGGAAGAGGACGGGGACGTGGAAAGGGTCGAGGTGGTTTTAATGAACTTGGAATTTGCAACAAACTGGCTGGTACTGTGTTTGATTTGGACTTTGATGATGATGATACTGAAAGCGTTGAAAACCTTAGAGCCATGAGGGAAAGGAGAAAGTCAACAGATATCAAAGGGTCAGATGGCTCTTATCAATCCCAAGATTCATCAGTTTCTCCTAGGTTTGCAAGTCCTTCACATGTTAGTAGCAAGCATCGAAGCACTGTTTATCAGAACCAAAACCTCTCTGATCTTAGACCACCATCACCAATTCATGATGGTCCAGCAGCAGTGGATGATGACGAAGATATCAACCCATCCCCTGAACCAGAAGAAACTGCAGCCTCAAGTCAAGTACAAAACTTCAATGAATGTGTCTTACCAGGTCCTGTAGACATGAGAACCTACAGTTCATTTGAGAATCAACCAACCTCAGCTCAACCAGCACCCTATCACAATAATCTTGTTGAGTCACTTGGATCTGAACAACAAGAACCTGATGTTGCCGATGACATTGAAAAGGAAATTCAGCAAGCTGTTGCCAAAGAAAAAGAAAAACATGTTGAAGAACCAAGGGTGTCTCTACCTGACTCCCGCCAGTTGCTTAAAGTCAAAATTAAAGGTCCGTTCCAAGATGCTAATTATGGAGCAGCTGCACCAACAGTTACTCCTATTTCACAACAACAACCTGCGCTGCCAGCTGTGGCCCCTCTTGACTCTATGCAAGGTCCAGGTATGGCATCAGGATCGGCAATGGCTTCAGTTTCAGCATCAGGAACATCTAATTTAAGACGAATGCGGAAGAAAGAACTACTTCGTCAATATTGCTCACAAGATATGAACATGGATGATACTGGTGCCCAAACCATGCCAGGTCATGCTGTTCTACCCACTCCGCCGGTCAACCGTACTGTTATATCAATACCCAAGGCTGTTGCTTCAATGACGACTATTCCAACCCGAGAGGACTACAAAGCTGTGGTTGATGCAAATAATGAAAAGAAACGAAGAAAGGACAAGACACCCAACTTCTCAAATTCCTATGCACGAAGAAACAATCCTGATGGTCTTGATTATGCTGATCTTGAATCCTTACCTGAGCGAAGGCGCAGTGTGGGCTCTAATGGTAGCAATAATTCATTCCCTTCTGCTGAGGTAATTCAACCGAAGAGGAAAGGTCGTGCTCCTCGGAATTCCGCTCTGCCTACAGCTACTCCAGAAATGGCAATAACACCAAAGCTAAAAATCAAGATTGGTGGCAATAGCACAGAAGTTGCTCTTCCTGTTGCTGAAAAGAAAAACCTCAGGGTGCGTCCTCCAAAGAAACGACACACTCCACCCCCACCTCCAGCCCCATCAATGGAAGAACTGCGAGCTGAAAGCATGAAATTCCGTAGGTTGGTTATGAAGGACTTTGGAGATGGTGAAGATGACAAAGAGGAGCCCGTAGTTGTTGCCCCTGTGCCCAAAAAGAAGAAGAAAAAGAAGAAAAATTCTAGATCATCATCACCATCGCCATTACCTGTTGTACCTGAAGTTCAAGTTATTTCTAATGAAGTTGCAGCTCCTAAACTTATCATTCGGTTTGGCAACAAGGGCACTTCCAGTGCAAATAGTAGTTCCAATAGTAGTGCAACTGTAGCCTCTGGAGAATCTGGGGCAAATCAAGAAAAAACCACAGATGGTTCTGATAAAATTGTGAGTGTTAACCAAACAGAAAGGTTACCTTCCTCTGTAGACTCTCAACCTTCAGGAGGAGCAGTTGCTAACCAGGACACAAACCAGCCATTAAACATTAGAGGAGATCTGGACAAAAATCAGACCAGTGATGCTTCTGCTTTGAGGAAAGTACGAACAAGCAGATCTGCTGTTTGTTTACCTAAATTAAAATTAAAATTATCCCGGTGTGAGGAGGGGTATGTGATGAAAACCCGTGAGGAAACCGTGTCGCACCCTGATGGGCAGTCAAATGATATGGAACCGCCTCCTGAAAATGTTCATAATAGGACTGAAATGAACTCAAGTACATTGCCTCTCAGTCAAGATTGTGAAGTTAGATGATAATGGTGGAAATTATTAGTCTCAATTAAGTTTTATATCTAATAGATCTGATTATCGCCGATGTTAGTTAAAGTTCGAATTTGTACAGTATGGTGCCAAGCTTTTTGTGCTGCTAATTCCCTCATTCTTGAGTCTGGCTTCAATTTTGTATTGGTTTTAGACATTTCAGGAGTTGACGTTTTGATAGTTTTAACATTTTAATCAATTTATTTTATAATATTCATGTTTGTTGTTGAGCTATAAAGATAGGACCACTTCAATTACATGCCTCCTTTTTTTTTTCGGAATAGCTCTTTTGATTAGATTATAATCGAAAATTAACTTAATTATTGCTCATCTCTTTGTTTTCTATTTCAATATGTTTGCTTGACTGCTGCATAGTTTGAGCAGTAATTGCCAATATTTTTATGACGCTTTAGTGTTTTTCAGTTTCTTTGTTGAAAAAATCTGATTCAGCTTCATCGGTTTGTTCAATGTCCTACAATTTTTTAGTATACTTTATAACTCTTTATAAAAGGAAATAATGTTTAAGTGCTATTTTCTAAATTTGGAAAAGCTACAAACATCTTAATCAAGTTTTTCAGACAATCAAACTATAGAAATCCAGTTGTAATCTTGTAGTTATATATTTAGACATTTTAATACTTGCCCTTTTAATGGTGTCATTTTTATTGGATCATTACTAAGTTGTACTCTCCTCTTAATTGGATTGATGTTAAAATGCCATTCAAAAATAGCCTTGGGCTTTGTTTGATTAATACTGGTGATTGAAAATGATAACTCGCCTGCAATTTGATTCTTTCCTAACTTTGAGGGCAGAGTTGACTTAAGGCAGTATTTCTTGTTATTGAATTTATCTATCTGTCACCAGTATGTGGTTTCAACTGAGCACAGTACATGGTATTTTATCAGGAATTAGTAAGCATATGAAGATTGGTACCAATGTCATCATTATTTACTGTTGATTAGTTTTTAATCCTTATTTGTTCCTCCTCTGTGTAATTGAGTGTGTGTGATTGTGTGCAATGGAGGAAGGGATCGTACTGGAGGCTGTGCAGTTCCTCAGCTGTGGGCCACTTAGTGGTCAGGAGTACTCTCTTTAAGGTCCAGAGCTCGAAGAGTGCTTGACTTGTACAAAATTTTAGCAGTCTTTTCTGGGCTGATGCTAAGTTTAACTGAATATTCTAAAGGTGACTCTCAAAATAATTTATAACTATTGTTGTTACATATGTTTGTAAGGATAAAAATAAAGTAAGTCTTCAGGTCAAGCTATTAATGTAATCATAGTTATATTATAATGATATTGTACATATAGTAATCTAGTATCTAATCTTTTTTCCTGTAGGCTGTCTTCTTGTAAATGTGCACAGTGTATTATTTATAGAAAAGTGTAACACAAATGGTGCAAATGAACAAACTAGTGTACAAAAAGTCAATTACTGTTTCATTGCAGGAGTTCATATTTTTGTATATATTGTGTTTATTGAAGATTGTTTTAGAGCGGTTAAGTCTTTGTAAGTGTATAATTTAAACTCTTAATCGAAAGTGATGTGGCATTGTTTGCATTCTGTAATGCATTTTTAAGGGATACTAATTGTGTTAAAGTTGGGATCTATATTAGAGCTGATTATCTGGATAGACAATTGTTTAAACAAATCAATATTGGTTAATAGTGGTCTAATGGTTGTGATGTTGATGTTGCCAGCCTTTGTTTTAAAAAGCTGTATGCTTGTTTGCTCTTTTTCTAATATTCTGAGCTGTATGTATATATGAGTGTTCTATTTGCAGACATTGACCCATTGTCTTGGATCATACAGCTCTTGATCTTGCTTGTCTCTCCAAAAGTCGTACCATACTGAAAGTTAAATCAAGAAGGCAGGGTGAACTAATGGAATCTTTACTTAAATCAATGTTGTTCTCTCTTAGGTAGATGATTGTTTTACCTGTCAAGCTCTGTTTTTGATTGCTGTAGATGCTCTTATAAATTTGCTGTAGTTCAGTGCTTTTGAACTAGCTTTGTTTCGTGAGAAGCAAATTTCTTTAAGTAGCTTCAAAATTTCATATAACCCAAGGTACAATTCAACTTTTGGAAGTTATTTACACTGAGTATCTTGCTCAGTTTATTTGTTTTTGTTTTTTAAAAAATTTCTATGCCATACTCTAACCAAAGTTGCAATAATAGTTTTTGTGTAGTATCGTTGGAACCCTTGGCTGCTGTGCAGTTCATCTACTGTGGAACATGAGCATGCTGTGCATCCATTAGTGGGTTACCACACTGTGGTGTCATTACAAAAGGGTGTGTGAGCAGGTAAACAAAGACTGTTTTATACTTGAGTTATGGTTTAAATTAACGGAAAATTGGAGAGTTTCTTATAGCCAATATCAGGAATATTCAATAGTGAATTATTATGTTACCCATATGAAAAAGGTAGAATACTAGCTTATAAACGTGGAATTTGTCTGAATTCTGATGTATTTATGTTTATGCTGCCCTTTTATAACTTTTACTTCTATTCCCAAGCCCAATTATTTTCGTATTGTTCTTTTACAGCCCAAGTCTGTTGCCTACATTTGCACAACTAAGCTATATAAGTTTTCATGAAAATGTTGTTCATACCTGTGAGATTACTTGAGATTTCCTCTTTAACTGAAACTGTAATGAATTAGTTAATTCCCTTTCAATTTACTGTTGCATGGAGACTCTTGTTATGGTTACCTCCACTCAAGTATTTTATTAATATGATCATGATTCAATGTCTGCTAGGTGTTACATGTTAACTGTTGAATATCACTTCATATTTATTATTTTGGATCAATGGACATTGATTTATTCAGTTACCTTGCTGTTTCAGCCGCTTCCAATCAACAAGCACTTTTAGCCTGAGTTCACTTCTTGCAATTTTAATTTGACGCCCATTCAAGTTGTCTCTTTACTTATCTTACCATTGACATTGTGGAACTGGATACTCCTTACGGGAAGACCAAGTATAGTGTCATTTTAGTGGAATTCCCTTGATGGGAGAGGCCAATATGAGTGTTTTTATGTATGTGAGCAATGATAGTCAAAACTGTTTTAGAGCTTTGCCAAAATAATTCTGCACCTTGTTAATGGACACTGGTGTATTTATTTGTTTTCATATGAATTTAGAACTTTGTATTAACACACTGTTTTACTTGTAAATTTTATTTATGTAGGTAGGTGGCATTTTTG